CATTTCTTTCATCAGACCTCGCATAAATATAACATAGTTCTTCCTGAGTCTTTAGGTCTTCATTTCTGAAGGCTCCAGTGTCATGTAAAACTTTGGTTAAATAAATTTGTTATGGTTTTCTTTTGTCAATCTGTCTTATTATAGGGATGTCGGCTACAAATTTTGTAATGGTTGAGCAAAATACGTTACTTTTTTCTCCCCTACATTGTATAAATAAATCAGTTGTTTGTATTTGGGGTGCATTTAGGAAGTATCTAAAAGAGGCAAATTCATAGAGACAAAAAGCAGATTAGAGTTACCTAGGGCTGGGAGAAGGCGGGGATGATGAAAAGTTTTAGAAATAGTCATTACCCCACATTGTGAATGTGATTTTTGTCACTGAATTATACATATAAAAAGGGTTAAAATATCAATTTTAATCTATATATTATAGTAAGAAAGTATTTTTAAAAGGACTATAACTCTAATCTGGAAAAATTCACCAATTTAGAAATAAGCAGATAAAATCACCTAGGGAACCCTAGAAAAAGTAAGCATTTATGATCCTAAAGTACCTATGTCTTAAAACATACTATTGATAACATATCTTTTTCAAGTAAAATTTACATAATGATAAATGAACATACCTTAAGTGGAGAATTGATAAACTTTAATAAATATATGCATTTATAAATACATGCATTCATAAAAACCATCACTCCTGCCAAGATATGGAACGTTGCCATCACCTCAAAAAGTTCCCTCTTCCAAGGGTGTGCTGAAGATCCCTTATAAAAACTTGCAAGAGGCAGATTGATAAATTTTCAGGAATTTTATGAATTAGTTATTAAATACAAGAATTATTTTTAATAATAGTCTTAAATTTAAAAATTTACCACTAAATAAGTTATATTAAAAACAAATCAATATATAACAGAAATTATATGTTAATTCTTTTACTATGTTTTACTGTTATCTTATGCTCATGAGATTATTTATGCTTCTGAATGTTAGAAATACACTAGATTGTGGTGTGCTATACATATTCCTGATTCTGTGTTCAGTGACTTCATACTGGTAGCTTGAAATATGCAAATAGCCAATTTTATAAATCAGGTGCCCCCCTACAGAGAAGATCTTCAACATACACCCACACCTCACTGCTCACACACTTTTCTGGCTATTCACCAGGTTCCAGAGGCAACTGATGCTTTTCATCTATAAACCATAACCTAATTTTGTCTGTTCTTAAATTTATCATGAATGGAATCATAGAAGATATTCTGTTTTGCACCTGGCTGATTATGTTTTTGAGATTTATTTTTAGATTTCCACATATATCAGTAGCCTGTTCTTTAAATTGCTAAGGGGTGTGCTGTTATGGGAATATACTACAATTTGTTTATCCAGGATTCTTATGACTATATTCAAGTTATTTTCAATTTGGGGTTATTTTGAACTAAGCTGCTATAAACATTTTGTACAGTTTTTTTTGTGTGTGTGGATATGCTTGTTAAAAATTATCTTTAAGTAAATATTTAAAAGCAGAATTGATGGATCATGGGTCTTCATTTATGTTTAATTTTAAAGAAGCTGCCATTACCAGGTATCTACCCAAAGGAAAATAAATCATTTGTTAAAAAGATATCTGCACCTGTATGTTTATCTCAGCATTATTCACATTATTCACAAGAAATGAAATTTACCTAAGTGTCCATCAATGGAGGATTGGATAAAGAAAAATGTGGTATATATACATAGTGGAAAACTATTCAGCTGTAAGAAAGAATGAAATCACATCTTTTGCAGCAACATGGACGTAATTAGAGGCCATTATCTTAAGTGAAAAAACTCATACACAAACAAATGCTGCATATTCTTATCTATAAGGAACTAAATATTGTGTACACATGGAAGTACAGAATGGAATGATAGACAATGAAAACTTGGACGGATGGAGGTGGCTTGAGGGGATGGATGATGAGAAATTACTTCATGGATATAATGTATGTTACTCCAGTGATGGAGTCTTTATCTGTGGCTGGCTGAAGGCGACTGGGTAGATAACCTCTTAGTTGAAGAGCTCCTGCTTGGCCAGGGAAAATGCTCCAGAAAAAATGGGAATTCAGTATTTCAGTATCAAGAGGTATCTGAATTCCCATGATTACTGCAGCATAATTCACAAGCCAAGAAATGGAATCAGCCTAAGTGTTTATTAATGGATGGATGGATAAAGAAATTATGGTACATATATACAATGGAATATTATATAGCCACAAAAGACTGAAATATTCTGCTTGCAACAACATGGATGGAACTGGAGACTATTATGTTAAGTGAAATAAGCCAACCACACAAAGACAAATCTCACCTTTTCTCACTGATATATGGAAGCTAAATATTAAAAACAATTGATCTCATTGAGAGAGAGGGTCCAATGACAGTTACCAGAGGCTGGAAAAGGATAGTGGGAAGGAGGGAATAAAGTGAGGATGGTTAATGGGTGCAAAAATATAGTTAGATAGTTAGCTAGTATGAAAAATATTTGATAGCACAAGAAAGTGACTATAATAAGCAAGTTAGGGTATACTTTAAAAGAACTAAATGGTGGAATTGGAATGTTCCTAACATAAAGAAATGTTAAATGCCTGAGGTGGTATATACCTCAATTTTCCTGATTTGATTAATTCTCACTATATGCTTGTATCAAAACATCACATGTACCCTATATAGATGTACGACTATTATATTCCTATAATAATTAAAAATAAAATAAAACATAAAGAAAGAAAAATCAAATGTAGCTACTTGAGGTCTAACCTTTAAAGTGCCCCAAAAGATAACAACTGGCTTTTCAACTTATATTATGTATGTGATATCCTATATACTTGATTCCTATGATCATATGTATATAGAAATCATCCTGGAAAATAGATTAATATTAAAAACAAAACAAAACAAAATCAACAACAAAACACCAGAAATACATTTGCTAAACACAGTATAATTGTTAAATATCAGTAATATCTGTAATTAAATTTATGAAACATGTTTGCCTTTTAATAGCAAAAAAAATGGATTTTAGTATTAGGCAACAAAAAAGTATAGATAAGTGACTTGTTTTTTTTTCATCCTAAGAAAGTGAATGGTTTATGATAGTTATAATTTTTCAAATATAAATATTCCTCCTCTTATAAGATCTCAAAAGAAGTATGATAGGTAAAATGTGATAAACCTAGTTAAGGAAAATTTCTTCTTGATATCACTCCAAATTGACTCAATTCTCATATGGGCTCTCTTTTCATTGTTGCAATATGTCCATATAGCTTTAGGTCTCCAAACCTTTTTATGTCTGTTGTGGTAGTAAGGGGAAAATCCCTTTCCCTAAATTTCAAGCAAATCCATTGTTTCTAATTGAGTCTAATTGGTCATATGAGCATTGTCATAGAAGTCAGAAGTATATGATGAAATATCAACAGAGTAAACAATCTACAGAATAGAGAGAAATATTCACAAAATATATACAACAAAAAACTAATATCCAGAATCTACAAGGAATTCAAACAAATGAGCAAGAAAAAACAAATAATCCCATTAAAAAGTGGACAAAAGATATGAAGAGACATTTTTCAAAAGAAGACATACAAATGGCCAACAATCAATGAAAAAATGCTCAACATCACTAAGCATCAGGGAAATGCAAATTAAAACCACAATGAGATACTACCTCATCCATGTCAGAATGTCCATTATTAAAAAGTAAAAAAAAAACAAAAACAAAAAAAACAATGAATTAGTACAATCTATATGGAAAACAGTATGAAGATTTCTCAAAGAACTAAAAGTAGATCTACCATTTGATCCTGCAATCCCACTACTGGGTATCTACTACAAGGAAAAGAAGTCATTTTATCAAAAAGACACCTGCAATTTTGTATGTATATCACAGCACACCTAAGTGCCTATCAACCAATGAGTGTAAAGAAAAAGTAGTATACACACACACACACACACACACACACACACACACTATGGAATACTACTTAGCCATAAAAAAGAATGAAATAATGTCTTTTGCAGCAATTTGGATGGAACTGAAGACCATTATCCTAAGTCTGTGGTCCCCAACCCCAGACCATGGACCAGTACTGGTCCATGGCCTGTTAGGAACTGGGCTGCACAGCAGGAAGTGAACAACAAACAAGCAAAGCTTCATCTGTATTTATAGCCACTCTTCATCACTCACCATCCCCCTGTACCAGTCCATGGAAAAATTGTCTTCCATGGAACCAGTCCCTGGTGCCAAAAATGTTGGAAACCATTGTTTAGGAATGGAAAAATCAAATACCACATATTCTCACTTATAAGTGGAAGGTAAGCTATGCATATGCAGAGTCATACAGAGTGGTATAATGGACATTGGGAGACTCAGAAGGGGAGAGGTTGGGACAGAGATTAGGGAAGAAATATTATCTATTGAGTAAAATGTACACTATTTGGGTGATGGGTACACTAAGAGCTCAGACATCACCTCTATACATGTAACCAAAACCCACTTGTACCCCTGTCTTATTTGAAATTAACAAAAGAGAAGTATATGATGGTTTGATTCCAGGAGACATTGGTTACATAAACCCTTTCTTGTCAAAAGGGATGTGTAACCCACCTAAAATACATGACTATAAATGAATGCAAGTGTAATTTTTTTGAAGGAAAATGGTGAGTGGAATAGTTATTGGTGGGCCACGATATAACTAATATCTACTAAGGACTCAATTTAATCTAGTGGGGTTTTTTTATCGCCCCATCTAGGAAGTTTTATCACCAACTTTATTAGATGTGATTTTAATTGGAATGCATCCCCACACCCTGGATTCTGCAAGTATGTCAACCAAGGTCTAATCAAATTCAGGTTTATGTTCAAAAAAAAAAAAAAAAGAAGAAGAAGAAGAAAAGCATTATCCTAGCTCTTATAGCCCATGAGGTAAAGATAGAAACATTCTATTAATAATGGGACTCACTTTTCATTACACTAAAGCTATTTTCCTCTTTCATACATATTAAGCTTCTCAAACTGTGCGCAACAAAAGATCCCCACAACAAAAACGCAGGTAATAATCAATATGCAATTCTCTTCTGTATTCTTCCTCTTTGATGTGTTCAGGTTGAACTGGGGGATGGAGAAACTCATGGTAGAGTTATTTTGAGGTACTTTTGAGCTGCTTATTAGCAGGTCCTTATTAGCAGCTTCTTATTATCAGCTTTCTCAGGCAGTTGTGACATGTTTTGAAGATAACTCTTTTGTTCTATTGAAACCATAATGCCTACTTTAATCTGCAATGAATTCTAAAAAAGAGAAGAAAAGACCAATTAAATTATAAAATACCTCAAAAGTCTTTGCTATATATCACTAGCTTTTACACCTTAGACAATATTAAATTATAGAGTCTTTAGTGAAAAAGTATGTTTTGCTTTGAAACCAGTCTGGCAGCAGTAATGTGTGCTTCCACATAATGATAGGCACCAAAAAAGTCCATAATACCAATAACCCTTTTAGAGCTAAAAGGAATCCATAACTAGAGTAACTTTAGAGAGACCGCTATTTACTATAAATGCCTTAATTCAAAGAAGGATCAAATATCAATGTGTCACACAATTCAGTGACAACTTATTGTATGAAATCAGTGCACCAGGCATTACAGAATTCCATTTTCTTTACTATTGGGTAATGCAAGGAAATGTACAATGCTAACTATGCTCCAGTCACTGCTTTATAAGCATTATAATGACACTTTTAATTCTTAAAATGAAAACGGTCATGTTACTACTCCTATTTTACCATGAAGAAACTGAGATAGGGAGAGGTAATAAACTTACCTACACTGTTACACAGTTGTTACAAAATATGACCTGTGTACAAAAGCAGACGATCTAATTCTGGTGTCTAGTCTATTACCCCTTAGATGGTACTAACTCCAGTATCTTTCTTTTGGAAAAGAATGATTTCATCAGTGACTTGGAAACCTTTTGAAAATGTAATTGCCCAGACATATGTGTTCATTTCTGGCCTCTCTGTTCTATATGATCTATCTTTACACCAATCTCACACTGTTTTTACTATAGTAACTTTACAATAAATATAGACATCTGATAGCGTATGTCCTCTAAAATTGTTCTTTTTTTCCAAATTTGTTTTGATCATTTTTGCTTCTTTGCATTTCCATATACATTTTAGAATTAGCCTACAAAATTCTTCTCTTTTTCTTTTTTTTTCTAAAAAGCCCTTTTTGGATATTGATTGGGATGTGGTGTATTTAAATCAGCATGAGAAAAAAATGACAACTTAACACAGATTTTTTTACATTGAGTATAACTCTACATTTATTTAGGTCTTGTTTAATTGCTCTCAGCAATGTTTTGCTGTTTTCACTATATATGTTACGTACACGTTTATCAACATTTCCTAAATATTTTATATTTTTGATGTAATTAATATTACAGATTGTATTTTGGTATATTTTATCATTTAAATTCAAATTTTGGTTGGTCATACACAGATATATTATACAATTAGCTTTTGCATATTCATTTTTATGCTAAGATTTTCTTAAGACTATTTACTAGTTCTACTAAGATATTTGTAGCTATCTTAGGATTTTCTACATAGATAATCATGTTGTAAAAATGAAGGAAATTTTTTCTTCCATTCTAATCTGAATAACATCCGTTTCTTTTGCTTTCCTATTGCACTGTCTAGAAACTCCAGTAAATTTGTTGAATAGAAGTAGTGATAATGGATATCCTTGATTTAAAAAAAAACATTTTTTATCTTAGGGGGAAATATTGTCTTTTTCACCACTAAATATGATGTGAACTGTATGTTTTTTGTAGAGCTCTTTAACAAATTGAGAGAGTTTCATATTCCTAGGTAGCTGAGTAGTTTTTTCATGTTTAAGTGTTGAATTTTTCAAATATTTTCTTCTACTGATTGAGTTGATCACTTGTGTTTTAGTCTGTAATTATATGAATTACTTTTTAAATATATATATATAATGTTAAACAAATATCTCAGATATACCTGACACTTCAACCAAATACAACATTTGCCAATCTTATTTATTCAGAGTTAGGTCTTACCTTGACTTTCATTTGGGTCTAGAATCAGACTTAAGTTTATCACTTTCAATATGAGTTGCAAGGACAGAGTGGTAGTTTGTGTCCTGTTGAGGAAAGAACCACACTCTTATTATCAGTTTTCTTTTCATTTTCTGCTTTCCTTAGACTGGCTAGTTCTAGGACATCTTGAGATCAATTAATGTTAATTAATACTGCTTTCTCAGTAAACACATTTTAAGTGTAGTGGCTAACAGTATGGACTCTACAGTCTAACCAGCTTGTTATAAACTCTGAGTCTGCCACTTAGTTGCTATGTGACCCTGGCCAAATTATTTAGCCTCTCTGTGTCTCAGTTCCTTCATCTAATAACAGAAATAGTATTACTACTTACCTCATAGAATTATTATGATGATTCCTATATTAATATACTAATATTTATAATATACTAATTTATTAATATACTAATATTTATAATATAAATAACTTAGATCAACACAGCATACAATGAGCATGAAATGTGTTAGGAATTTAGTATTTTTAATTGTATGACTTTGAGTCAGTTATTTAATCCCACAAAGACAGAGTTTCTGCATAAGTTAAAATAGGAGTAAATAATAGCAGCTATTTTACAGACTTTTATCCAGTGAAATACTGTGTAAGGAGCTAGAACATAAATGATAAGTTAAATGTTTATATTATTCATATTATACTTTTTATTTTTATTATGCCACTCATAGTAGGAATATTTCATCCAATTTTCCATTACTTACATAAGTCAATACTGAGATGTACATTTAAAAATTAATCCAAGAAATGATTTTTAAATGAAAGATTGCACAAGTAAAAGAAGTAGAATTTCCCTGGGCTGACTATACTATAGGAGATCAAGAGTAAGAGGAAATGAAAGTAGAATTTCCCTGGGCTGACTATACTATAGGAGATCAAGAGTAAGAGGAAATGATCTTTTAAACAAGCTGTACACTACCTTTCTGTTTTCTGAATGATCTGATGGATTCATGTGTTAGTAAAGTTGCTAAATAAACAATTATACATGAGGAATGTTCTCTGTGCCACATAAAATCTCAGTGGATTTTCTTCCTCAGTGATAATATGTTTACTTTCTAATAGTGAATGTAGCATGTGTTTGAAATAGAGATAGAAAGAAGAGCCACGGTTACATCCCAGCAATCAGCTAATAACTTTGCAAGCAGAATAAAAGATTATTGACTGCAATATTCTCAAAACTACTGGTCTATGTAACTCAGCACTATTAGAATAAACCATACCTCTGGAAACTGAGGCACTGCTTGTTAACTCCTGTTGTCAAAATTTGAAAGTATTTTGCATTAAAACACCAACTCACGCTGGATAACAGACTTAAACCTAAG